GTGTCACAGCAGGGATCCAGTTTCACCGCTGTCCTGACACGCTAAACTAAAGCCCTCAACAACAGCCTGCAGACTCCTGCGCAGAGCAGAGCTTCCTGAGGGTTAATCAGCAACCAACGAGAGACGGAGAGCTCGACTACAATATCTGCCGGGGGTCTGGAAACTCACACAGGCCCACACTTCAGACTCAGCTCTCAGTTCAAGACCAACCCTGAGCTGTGTTCTGGCTTCTGTTGTGCTGTACGGTGTCCACACATTCATATTGACCTGGATATCCTGAAACGGCTCTTCCTCTGCTGTGATAATCAGACACTGATGAAAACACACAGCGATGGTGAACACTGTACAGGCCGGGACTTTCTAAACTTCTGCTTTTTAATTTTTAGACCATTCACAGGCTGAAATTATACCGAAATTATACACAACTACACAGAGCAGTGATTTCAAGGGTTAGCCAGAGTCCTCCATGTTCCACAACACAACACAACACAACACAACACAACACAACACAACACAACACACTGTGTTACCCACTACACAAAACAACCTGACATTATGAGAACCACACAGAAGACAGGAGTGAGCACCTCTTTAACTCTCCCAGATCAATTTTTAGGATATAAAACTGTTCAGAACTGACAAACTACCACCCAGAACAGACTTCTCAGACGTCTACAAACAAACAAACATACAAACAAACAAACAGACAAACAAACAAACAAAAAACAAAAACAAACAAACAAACAAACAAACAAACAGACAAACAAACAGACAGACAAACAAACAAACAAACAAACAAACAAACAAACAAAAAACAAAAACAAACAAACAAACAAACAAACAAACAGACAAACAAACAGACAAACAGACAGACAGACAAACAAACAAACAAACAAACAAACAAACAAACAAACAAACAAACAGACAAACAAACAAACAAACAAACAGACAAACACAGTTAAAGAAGAAGTAGGGCTGAATAATTATACTAATGGGGCTGAATAATGAATCGCTGAAGAGCCCAGGCTGATGAAGAGCCGGAGCTGACGTAGAGCTGAATGTACAGCGGGCTGATGGCAGAGCCCTGCAGCACACCGAGATGAAGAATGGAGAAACACGACCGTCTCAGCTGAAGCTCAGTGTTTGAGTGGTCATCATCACTCTGACCTGCCGTCTCTTCTGTACTAAACCAGTCAAGGAAAGCAAACTATTAGATAAAGCTTCCAAAGCAAGCTATCAGCCAGAGTTAATGAAGCGTTCCTGATCCTCCTCTGCTGTGATCAGGCCTAGAGGAGCTGGAGTACAGCCGCTCCACCACTTCTGCCTTTCAGTCTTTGTTATATTAGAGTCTGCTGATGTTCAGGGGATCTGTGAAGCCACACGGGTCTACAGCAAGAGGATCACTCCAGCAGAACCAAGACCAGAGTTCCACACAGATCTCAAACCAGACCTTTCCAGAGATCAGACGCTATTGTGCAAACAGCTTTGGCATAATTTCTAGAAAGCACACACACACACACACACACACACACACACACACACTCATCACACTACAGTGAAACGGCTGTTTATGTCATGATGATCATCAAGTTATTCCTGTTAAACTGACAGACGACACAAGCTCAGCACGTGGAGGACTGCAGAAGCAGAGCCAGGATCAGCGCTCGGTGTGTGTGTGTGTGTGTGTGTGTGTGTGTGTGTGTGTGTGCAGCACCTCCAGTGTTTCAGAAACAGCCAGAGCATCATCCATCGTTGACTTCATGCCTGTCCTTTATCAATCTAATGTAATCACAGCATTAAAACACACATCTACACCAGACAAACACGGAGGAACACACATCAATGATGAACAGAGAGAGTTTCAGCACACACACACACACACACACACACACACACTCTAAACAAACGAAAAAATGCACACACACACACACACACACACACACACACACACACACACACACACACACACACACACACACACACACACACACACACACACACACACACACACACACACACACACATACTCTAAACCCGATTAGAAGGGTTAAACTGCATTAGAGCATAATGAAACAATCTAACCGAATATCCTCAAGTCTGACAGCTGTAGTTAAATCACAGATACACAAAACCTCTGCAGGAACATTTAGCAAT